ATCCCTTATTCACTAGTCTCCATCGTCCCCAGCTGCAGCCACTGTTGCATGACGTTGCTTGTAAGCGGCATATTCATGGACCCGTCTGCATGGAGCCATTCCTGAGGACTAGTTCTGAGGTGTTCCCCATGGGAGCGATGGGGGCGGAGCATCAACAGGGGACTCGGGGGAGCTGCCGTTGGCGAGCGAGTGATCATATTCATCACATTACTCTAGTGATGTCTTCCTCACACCCGTCCTCAGGAAGTCCTTATCGGCGTACGTCGCAGCCACCGCGGCACCTCCAGAGTGTCCTGGTGTTGCCATCCTCGCGAGTGCACTCCGGAGAAGGTTACCCCGCCGCTCCTGCTTGAAATTCTCGGCGCAGTTTTTACTGTGAAGCACTCAGAGCGTTCTGTGCGAGGTTCTTGAGGTCGCGATCATACTCCGCGCGTCCGCAGCAGAGATTCCTGAGAGGGTGGGTAGGGAGCAAGACCGCTCGTGGGTAGAACAGAGCGTCGAGAATTATTCCGTAAAAGCTCCGAATGCTCCGCGCGCCTGAAGGATTTCGAACTTCGACCCGTCTAATTCGAAAGTTCACAACATGACCACGATCCAGGAACACCGCGTCGTTCGACTCCACAGCCCGCTTACCACTGGTCGAGTGGGGCTCGAGACTCGCTCGGGGGCGCCGGTCATTTAACTGCCAATATTGACCACGATTTTTTCGTCGTCCCCGTCCTGGGGAATGTGGACTCGGCCGTCCGTCACACTCTGACCCTCTCCGGTAGCTCGGAAGACGCTTGACGACTTGGCTCGTTGGCTGATCATCACAGCGTTGCTGTCGCAAACTCGTTCGCAGTCTTGAGGGCGTCGTTCTGCGCGGTTGCAACACGTGGCGTTCAGCAATTCCAAGTTCTGATGACCTTTGCGCCTTTCCGGAAAGCGTCTCGGTGGGAATCGTTTCAGAAACTTTGAGCCGACCTCACCCCGCGGAGCGGGATTCCTGCTCGCCCCATGGACAGAACCGGTGCACCAGGCAGACACTTGCGACTCAGGAGAATGCTTCGAGACTTGTAGCTGTGGAATGCCGTTGAAGTTTTGACGACACGGCCTGCCTGCTGGCCAACCGGACCGTGCGCTCACTTGCTTCAGCCTTCGGTCTAGAACACAACATCCGTGTCCCTCCGGTGGCGTCTCCGCTCACTGAAAATATCCTTGGCGTTGCGAAACACGCTTTCATTTGCATATATACATACTTACCACCGCTACGAACAAACACTCGTTCAAGCTCGCTTATACGCAGTCGAATAGACAGAGTGATTCCTGCAGCGTCCCGGACACCAGCGGCGAGAAGCCTCTCTGCGGGACATTGTTGGCACAGAGTTCCTGTTTCCAAAACGTCGTTCTACGGTTCATCTGAAGCGAGGCGGGAGTGGAAAACAGCGGAACCTGGTAGCAGCACTTCATCGAATCCGATTTCCTAAGCTCGTGAGAGAATCCTGAGAGATCTCGCGGACTCTCTCGACCAGTCCGTAGGCGCTGCGGAATGAAGTGCTCGACGGTCTGCGTGACATTCCTCGGCCCTCCGTCGGGGCGACTGACGAGGGGAACCAGGGGGGGGGGATTGTCTCCGCAGAGCACAGTGCCCAGTTTTTCCGCCTCCAGTTGGTCGCTCGCTCTTCCGCGGGGCGCTAAAAACGTAGTCTCCTACCGAGAATCGTCACCAGAGACGGAATGTGGATGAAACATGGCACTGCAAAAACGCGAGAAATGCTGCATGAAGTATGGCGAACCCTTCGCCTCGCTCACGGGACAAAAACTCAAGGGGAGAAGCAGTGCTCCCGTCCTCGACGTCTCTCACTGATTTTCGGATGTCGGACCGAAATGAACAAGACAAATAGGTATCATAAGCGACTTGTATTTTTTGCCGTCATGCGCACGTTCGCGATCAGTCGATACTGTGATCGGAAGCCCATTTGGGGCAAGCTTTCGCTTCATGAGGAGACCATCGGGGAGACAAAGAAACCTTTGCCGCGGGCTGATACCTTCGGGTCACCTCGCGGAGCTCGGGATTCAATGGCTGTTCCCTCGATCAGCAGCGGGCACAATGGCACGGCCTATGGAAACAAATTTCTCGTTCTATCAGTGTGGAGCTGGTGTGTGAAACTTTGCAAGGGTGTAGGTGAGCAGGGTTGCTGAGCGTGTATGAAGTGACATTTGATTGACAGCAGTCACCCTAGCGGCGGCAGGATAAGTTTTTTTCTGCGACATTTTCTTCTCGAAAACTGTATAATTAGATAAACTCAACGAGTCCGGGCACTCGCCTCCTGCGAGGAACGAGATCGCGTCTATCCCGAGACATGCAGGCTTTTGAAACGCGACATGCGTTGCTCTTGGGATTATGTATCTGATGACAAGTTATTATTTCCCGAGACCGATTGTTGCTCTCTGAATGCACGGAGGCGGCGCTCGCCCTCGAACCTCTCGGAGATTCCACGAACGATGGGATACAAATCCAACGCGACCTCTCAATCGATTGTGAGCCATAGTGATCATAGGCTCAGCATCCGACGGGAATGAGGCCTCGTGTGGGAAGAAAATGACGAGTCCCTGACATGTCTGATGGGGAGTTCGAATCCTGCCTGCGCGCTCTTGGAGTTGCAGAAAAATAAATTAGGTGAAGAGGAATAATGGGAAGCCCCACGCACAACTTCCACATGTTAGCCTGCACAGGTGTGCCGATCCCAGGCGCTGCGCAAACTGAGCCTAAACGATGGGATCTACAGACGAGCAGCAGAGGGACTCATTCATATCATACCGGATGATGCCGATGCATGTCGTTCGATCAGACGGGCCCACTCGCTCACATGACGAGTCACGAGCGGATGCGAAAGTAACAATGGAGTAAAGGACGAGCAAATAGAGAATAAGAGGCTTCGAAACTCGATTGGAATGCTGCGTTTCCCATCGACAGGCGAATTGTATTTCTCTAATTCCAGGAGGGGGAAGGAACCAACAAGGTCATCCGAAAATGTCGAGAATGAGCGATGAGGTGATTGAGTGAGAGTCGACAGCGTGGAAAAGGAGCGAAGGAAAACGTTTGAATTTTCAATGCACAACAGGAAACTGCAGACGACTGCGCTCTCCTCGACCCGGCGCGACGGCTGTCTGCTGCGCGTTCGTCGTTCCGACTTTGAACACAGAAGAGACTCGAGAAGAGAAGCGAAGGGGGTCGAGAGCATCTCCGCTTTGATCTAGAGCAAAGATGCGAGCGTTCGAGAAACGTCGGGAGCGGGATGGATTTTTCATTGTCGTCATCAGAAAAGAGTGGAAGGAGTCCTTTAGAGGAGAGACGGATAGATCGGAGAAGACGAAGCGACTCATGCATTGCGGAGGACACATGATCCCCGTTCCGTCAGATCGAATTCCAAGAAAATAAATAGATTGAATTTCCACGATCAACCGATGGAGCCCCACGAGCTTCCTCGATGGGATTCTTTCACGGCGGATCTCCGAACTCCCGAGCTTCAACCACGATAAATCGGACGCCAACGTATCATGGAAGTCACTACTCGGAGACTCGCGGGAGAATGCTCGATCACAGGATGTTTCTTCGTATTTCGATCAACCGGTTCCATTTTCGAGACGAAATATGTCTCGCATAATTCTCGACTGTTCCCGAGAAGTCGGCCTCGGACTCTCGGTCAAGTCAATCTCCCTCCTCTAGTTCGCTATCATTCTCATCTCCCTCCGATGGTTTCAGATGCCGAAGAGCATCTCTCTCGCTACGCGTGATTGGACAGAGATGAGCGATGCTTTACCGATTTTCCATCGATGAGCAGACCCGCACTCTAGCATTCCTTATTAGGCGAAGAAATTCCAGTTACCTCAGAGAGAGACCAGCTCCGAAGAGTCAGTGTAGATGAAGAGGGGAACGTTCTTTGTCAGAATCCCCCCACAGGTATCGGTACCTGAGACAATGATAAACTATGGGAATCATACGATCTGGGAGCACTCCGAAATCATCAACACCTTTGCTTGATTCTGCGGGTTGATTGGTCTGGATCGGGATACCTCCCCGTCGGTGCGCGGACTCAATCATGTTGAGCTCGGAGAATCATGGGCTTCCCAGTTCCCACATCAGCAGGATCCAGTCTCCTAGTCACCTATATGATTGAATGATCACGGGATATTTGTTCAAGTTGAGTTCAAGGTTACTCCCGACTTTCTGATGGCCATCACGGGCACCTCAGCGAGCATTGCTCATCGGAACAAAGTAAGTTCCCCCGTGCGGTGGCGCCTCCGAGCGGAGGATGTTGTTCGGCACAGAATGCCATGTCGGCCAATCAATTCAGGAAGCTTTCCGAGTCTCATTCTCTCTCTGAATTTGACTCCAAAAGGCTCTTCCAGTCTCGCGCAAACAAACGATACCCCGCTCTGAAACGCACTTTCGGATGCACGTCCGACAGACCGCTTATGATCGGCGGATACCAAATCTCACTGTTTTCTCTCCAGCTACATTTTTTTTGCGGCTCTCTCAAATATTGAAACGTGAGGAGGATTCGACTCAACGGATATTCTCTCGAATTACTCAGAGCATAGAAGGTGTGCATCGTCCCTGGAAATTTACTCTTCATTCTCAATCAATCGCCTGTGCTCTGGGACGCGCTTCTTGGGCGAGAAAATTGTTTTCCCTCGTCTGAAAGACAGTGTTGTGTTGAAGTGATCGGAACGACCGCCGCGCCGATCACGGAGATCTATATCCTGAATTAGGTACCTGGTCGCTCCGGATTTTGGCTTCGCAGTGATTGACTGGGAGATCGACTACGTATGTAGAAGAAGATTCCGGAAGAATCGAACTTCGGATCAGTTTGACGATAGGTGAGGAAGAGCTCAACGTTTGATAATCAGATCGAAGTCGTATTTTCTCGTGGATCGGCAATTCCTGAACATATGCAGTATTTTGAGAACTACATATATGAATTGACTGCTCCCCTCCCAAGGACTGAGATCTTGGGATGGAATATGTCAAGGACCTCGCCGCTCGGTTCGGCAGCCTCCTCTTCGATTCGGCTTCCTCAGACCTCACGCTGATCGTCGAAGGCGAAGCTCTACCAGTCCACAGGATCATATTGGCTACTTCGTGCGATTATTTTTGGTAAGTTTCGATTATCTGGATCGTGAGATGATGATCCAGATGGGCCCCGTTCCATAGTATCTGATGACGGGAAGAGAGCGATGGAGTCGTTTCGGAGGACAGGCGCGGTCCGACTCCGATAACATTCACGATTGAGATCTCTCATTGCATGAAGTCCCTCAAAATCTCCTCCTCCCCCAGGGCCCTCTTCTGTGGGCGTATGATGGAGTCAAGGCAATCACGGATCATCCTGCAGGACATCTCCTTACGCGGCTTCAAACACCTGATGCGATACGTCTACACCGGGGATCTCGATTTGGAAAACCTGGAATCAGGCATTATCCTCGAAGTTCTTGGGCTCGCGAACCTCTACGGATTCAATGTCTTACACGATGTTCTCGTCGAGCACATCCGAAAGAATTTGTCACTCGCCAATATCGTTATCATGAGCAACGAGGCCAACTGTCTACAACACGACCAGCTGATCGATATTTGTAATCAGTTCATGGACGAAAATCCAGATGAGATTCTCAAACGCGAAATTTTCAACCTGCTCTCGATCGAAACGTTGTACGGACTGCTATCAAGGAGTTCCTTTTACGCTGAAGAAATCGAAATTTTCGAAGCTCTCAGAGAGTGGTGCTCCAGGGAACCTCAACTGCAGGGACCACATGTTGGGATAATGGAAACACTCCGACTCGAACTCATAGAGACCGAAGATCTCGTGAACATCGTCGGAGAATCAGGTCTGGTCTCGAAGGAAAGTATTTCCGAGGCAATTCAAATGAAGAGGAGCGGTGCCGCGGAGCTCCGCCATAGGGGAATTCTGAAGTCCGGCGAGAACTTCGCGACCGACGAGAACGGCGCCTCTAGGCTGAGAGAGATTCCTTCCGAATGCATCGTCACACCCAGAGCTTGCACGGCCTACGACCGCGATTCGATGCCGCCGCTCAATACCGACTTGATGGTCCGCTTCGAGGAAGGCTTGGTAGTCGCGCTGCGGAAGCCGTTCTTCATCAACAAGATTTCATTCAAGTTGAGAGACGACGGTCTGAATCTCTACTCCTATTACGTGGAAGTTTCGGTCAATCTCGTCGACTGGGTCCGGATAGTCGACCATTCCAAGTATCTCTGTCGGTCATATCAGAAGCTATTCTTTGAGCCTCGCGTAGTCCGCTATATCCGAGTCATCTTCACGAAGTGTTTCGACAATAAGATTGCTCACCTGAGGAGATTCAAGGCCTCCCGGAGCAAAAAGGAGATCACGCTCAGCCATGGATTCCACGCACCCGAGAAGGATGTCGCTTCCAGGGGCTCAGTCATAGCGTGTGACGCCGGAGACGACGCCATGATCAGGGATCCGCCGGGATGGACCTGGCATATAATCGGCAGAAACTCAACGACGATTCGCTTGTCCCAACCATTCGCATTGAATCGCATCGAGATGCTGTTAGCCGGTGGAGACGCGCGGCAATATTCCTACTATGTCGAAACGTCCCTGGACAAGGAACATTGGACCCGGGTGGTGGACCGCACCGCTGAAGATTGTCGCGGCTGGCAAACTCTGAGCTTTGAAATGCTCCCGATGATCTACATCAGGATCGTCGGCACTGCATCGACTTGCGGCCGGGTACGTAACTCGAAGTTATCGCAATGATTTACCGAAATATTCCATTCTGCTAAGCCTGAGGGAAATTCCTCGAGAGTGGGCTGCTGGGATCGTCGATTTCGAGTGAATGACGTCCAGTTATCGGTCATCGTTCCTCCACTTCTGACATTAATTTTTTTCAATCCCTCCAGTTCTTCAGCTGTACCAGATTTTCGTGCTATGCAGAGCTCAACCCAACTACTGCCCACGAAAATCAGGAGAGATCCGGAGCTGTTTCCGCATTTTGAGGTTTATCTATACCGACTCAGATATGCAAATCCTGCCAAAGAATCGTGTCTCGTCGATGCGCCCGCAAAAGATGGACCTTGAGAGAAGCACAAAATCGCAATCGCAGTTTGAGTAAGAACGCGACCACATGGGCTGTCTCACGATGCGCTTCCAGGGTGATGTCAGCAACTCGGCAAGTCACCTTCAAAGCATCAGAGCTCCAGACAGCCCGAATCCCCTAGTTAGAGTGAATTCAAGATTCGATCCGATATAAAGTTCTCTTACGCGTCTTAATCGAATAGGTACAACACAATATTGGGAGTCGGATGTAAAAGCCTTTCCGACGTCAGCTCATTCTTCTACTAGATACTAGATTATGGAAAGAGCGGTGCACATGGGGATCCATGATCAGGCGCAATGACGGCGATCAGGCTCGAACACCCTCCTACAATTTCCCGTGTGCATGATCTCCTCTACAGCCGCCATCCAAATATTCCCATCGGCACCTCCGGAACATCCATACCGTAAAAGGCTCTCCGTGAAGATGTCTGCGATCATTCCCTTTGTAGGGACGAAGTTGAGCAGGTCGGAGTCGACAATGTTTTCCCTGTTTCGGATCGTATACGCTGTCACCTCTGAGTCCGTTGACGACAAGACTGTTTATTCTCTTTCTCATAACCGCCATGGATTCATGGCGCAAAATTAGAATGACGCTTCCGCTGCTCTCGCGAGCATCCCCGAGTCTTTCCGCGGGATTCCACCATAGGTAAGAAAAACACGAGGGGAGTGGGTGAGACAGACACCTGAGAAATGGCTGTTGTGGATCAAAACCCCCACATACTTGTTGTCTAAAATTGGCCGTCATGTTAAGATGGTATTTGAAAAATTGCCTCGTTCCGCGACGACCTACGGATTTCGCACAGTCTCGTCAGAATCGCGATGATCAGACTCCAAAAGTCCCGTGAATGAAGCGATCCGTTATTCAAACCTGTTTCGTATGGCACCTTAATTCTCCTTCACTCTGCCAGCAAATGCATACTCGAAGAACCAATATTGCACGTCCCCCAGGATCACAATGAAGATCTGCGCTGGGACAATTCGATACATGTATGGACGAGCTTGCTGTGAAACTTTCCGCTCCGGCTCTTGACGCCAGGGGTCGCTGCAGCGTGTTCCGTATGTTATGACCACGGCGGCACAGCTTCTCAACGTTCGACCGCTGAAGATCTGGAATTTCATACCAGAGTTAGCGGGAAATTCAAAGATTACCTTTCCGGGTAGGTTCCAATACTTTCTGGATAGCCAACGCTCTCGAATGCGAAATGCTACACATTTCTAGTCTGAAGGAGGTGGAGCGCGCGTACCTGTCTCCACGAATTTATTTCCGGAACGTTGATTCCCGCTCCGAGCTGCTCGTTCCTTGAAATCCAGCAGATTATTCAGGTGACCCAGAGCAACTTTCTGATGGAGCATACCTGTGATCTCGCTACCCAAATCGGTTCGGCGCTCTTCAGTGAGAAGTTCTCCGACGTCACTTTCATCGTGGAAGGTGTATCGCTCCCAGCGCATAAAATCATCCTCGCGACTTCTTGTGAATACTTCAGGTACTCCGAGGCTGCTGTTTGCATATTTTGACTCAATCATCGACCGAAGAGTCGCAACAAGACGCATGAAACGAGACCGAGGGAGAGATGAGATCTACCTACGAGTCGTCTCTGAACACAAGAGCCTGCCTGCTCATTCACCTCTCTCCCTTCGTTTATAGGGCTCTTCTCTGCGGAGAGATGAAGGAATCTCGTCAGAGCGAGATAACATTGAGGAGCGTTCCGTTGGGAGCTTTCAAGATCCTGATGAAATTCATCTACACTGCCCAAATCGACTTTTCCGGATTGGATGACGATCTCCTCCTGGAGCTCCTGGAGCTCGCACACCTGTACGGTTTCGGGAAGCTACAAGATTCGCTGTGCGGCCATCTCGAAACGGTCCTATCGATCGAGAATGTCTGCGTCTTCTTCGAGGCTGCTCATGAACTTCAGCTCCCTGCTCTCGAGAAGGTCTGCTGCGGCATTATGGATCAAGTTCCGGATGCGGTCTTGAAGAGCGAATCGTTCTATAATTTGTCGGTAGCCTCGGTTTCTAAGATAATTTCTCGTGACACATTCTGTGCTGAAGAAATTGAAATATTCAAATCGGTTCAGCGATGGCTAGAGAGCAACTCGCATCGAGAAGACCCTTCGAAAGCGTCCTTGCTAGAAGCAGTCAGACTACCTCTCATCGGGCTCGGCGATCTCGCGACTATCGTCAGGGATTCGGGTCTCATTCCAGCGGATCTACTGATGGACGCGATCAGGGAAAGGGAGAATCCCATCCACAATAATTCGTTCTTCCGAGGTGTCGTAGCCAAGGAGGCGAATCTTGCGACTCCGGAACAGGGAGCTACAAAACTCAAGCTGAAGAACGACGGCAGTAACGAAACCAACAGCGACAATGATGTCCCGGCAGCTCCTCCGAAGTACGAAAGCGGGCCCATGCCCCGATACGGGAGCGATCTGAGGATTGATCCCGTATGCGGCTTGGTCGTAGGTCTCAGAACAGTTTTTATAATCAGCAACATCAAGTTCGAACTGCCCGCGGGAGCGTCTCACTCATACTACGTTGAGGTCTCGGTGAACCTGGTTGATTGGGTTCGGCTCATTGACCACTCGAAGTACCCCTGTCGATCGTTCCAAAACCTCTATTTCGAGCCTCGAGCCTTGCGTTATATCCGGGTCATGCCTGCAAAGGAATCGGTCAATGGCGATATGTTCGTGACGGGTTTTGGAGCGTCCTACATCGAGGAGGATATCCAATTCCACCAAGGTCTCGTGGAACCCGCGAAAAATGTTGCTTCTGTTGAACTCGGAGCAAAAGTAATCGAGGGAGGAGGTGGCGAAGACGGAATGCTAGGTGGGACGGAGGACTCTACTTTCGCGAGCGCCGGTTGGACGTACGGACGTTTCATAACGATTCAATTGCCGCAACCGTACGCTGTCAACTCCATCCGAATGAAATTGCCCGAAGACAAGGAATATTGCTACTACATAGAAACATCCCTTGACCTTGATAATTGGACTCGTGTAGTGGATCGCACAGGAGAGCTTTGTTGCTCGTGGCAGGTCTTCAGTTTCCAGACTCTACCTGTGATCTTCATCAGGATCGTCACCACCTTCACCGTGGATCATCTGGTTCGGCTTCATGCATTTTATTTCAATTCCCCTAATTACTTCGCAGCATAGCTCGGTCGTGTAGTTGTTCACCAAATATGAATTTGGTGTCTATGTATATATCCCTCCCAAAACGTCGAACGCTTCTCCTTACAGGGCTTATTCTGCAAGAATTTTGAGTGTCGAGGGAGACGCGGGCGAAGCGTTCCGGCCGGCGAACGTCGCTGATGAGCCGCGGCGAGGACAACCTGAGGTTCGGCGTGTGAAAGGCGAGAACAGAATCGGCAATACCCTCGGATCGCACGCGTTTGCATCGAGCTTCATCGATGTTGTGAATGCTTTTTCCACTGCTCTCTAATGAAGGTGTCCCACATACGGCCGAAGACTACTGGTCCCGTTATTACATGACATGAATGTATCCCAGTTTCCTGCGTTAATGATTTGTGCCACGAGGGTTCTCCCGAGGATGCCGATCATTCCTCGTAGGATCATGCTCGCTGAGGAGAGGTTCAACACTCCAATCTGTTCGACGTCAATTTCGACATCGCTGGAGCTCCGGAGGTACCACGCAAGAGGGAAAACGTTGCCGCCCGCCGCAGCGATTTTTTTCGAATTTACCGCCGCGCTGGGGATCGCTAGAATCTCATTGTTATTGGGACATTTCGAAGAGGGTCCGATTAACCGTAGAGGGTCGGAGCTCTCAAGACTTCTGGGTTCCCGAGTCCCGGTCGATACCGCGTTCATCGAGTGTAGGTGAAATGCCGCGCGACCCCGCCAGCGAAATGCGAGGTGCCTCCTAGTGTTGAGTGCGGAGGTGCGTTGTGCCGTGGTGCGGATCTTTCGTGGGGAGTCCCAAGTACGATCTGCGACCGAGATTTCCCGGCGGGACATTCCTCTTGAATCCTGGGCATTCGTTCTGTCCTCGGTATCGGGTAGCTGAAATCTGTGGAATTCCTTTAGGGGCTCCGAACACCATGAGCAGCAAGAATACTGTACAGCGTTCCCCGCGCAAAAACCTATGCACACGTTGTTTCACGCAAGGATCTCGCATCTACTCTTACGCGATAGATTCGGATTCGTCAAGATGTCGAGCCCGCCAATATATTTATAATAATGTATCTTAGGACGTATAATGAGCGAGGTCATACCCTTCGCAGACCCCGACGCGATTAACTGGAACCCCATCCATTTGAGAACCCTCCAAGAAAAATAGGATATGATTCGAGTCCGTCATCCTTAAGGGGGAGTTTCCAAGGCGGGATCTCTCGGAACTGATTCGAGATGAAGAATGTCTGCGATCTCGCGTCGCGAATGGGATCATTGCTGTTCGATGAGAAATTCTCAGATATAACATTCATGGTCGAGTGCGAAATTATCCCGGCACATAAGAATATTTTATATACCTGCGGTGATTACTTCAGGTGAGCCTGGGTTTGCAGACGGCATGGACTATGAGCCGACCCATGCCCGTCTCAGACGTCCTGATTTGCTGATTTCCTGATCTTCGCTACCCTGGTGCCCTCTAGTTTACCTCTTCGCGGAGCGCTCACGGTACATGTTCTTTCTAGATCGCTAATTAGCAATGACTCGGAGGAACTTTCTGAAAATGAGCTGATGTTCATCGACGCCCCCCTTGAGGCGTTCAAGCTTCTGATGAAATACATCTACACCAGTCAGCTCAACGTCGCATCAATGGACCTGGATCTGATCTTGGAAGTCCTGGAACTTGCACATCGATACGGACTTGAAAAGTTGAAGATGGCGCTTTGCTCTCATCTGCAGACGGTTCTCACGGTCGAGAAAGTCTGCACGGTCTTCGAAATGGCTCATGGTCTACAACTCGAGCAGATCAGCGAGGCTTGTTGTCACTTCATGGATCAGGTACCGGAAGCGATACTAAGTAGCGAAGCGCTTCACGACCTATCCTCTGGAGCACTCTCTGCAATTTTATCCCGGGATACATTCTGCGCTGATGAAGTGGACATTTTCAAAGCTGTCGAGAAGTGGTGCGCGAGGAACTCGTTACAGAAGAACGCCTCAGAAGTTCTGGAGAAAGTTCGACTCGCTCTGATGCCGGTTCTCGAACTCGCGAGTACAGTCAGGAACACTGGTTTGATTGCAACAGACCGTCTCTTGGACGCCATCCAGCGGAGAGAGAGCCAGGCAACAGATCTTCCTTTCAGAGGGGTCCGTCTGTATGACGAAAATGTTGCGACCTCCGCTCGGGGAGCCTCGATCCTCACCGCCACCGTCGGCAGGAATTTCTCCTCGTCGAGCAATCATCCACCGTACAGAGAAGAAATGATGCCTCCGAACGAGTCCAATTTGACCGTGGACGCGGATACGGGCTTAACCATCGCTCTCAGCAAGCCTTTCCTAATAAACCGTCTGGCATTCCGAGTGAGCGAGAAACAAGCCGACGAGAGGAGTATCTTCTTCTCGGCCACGGCTTGCGCCTCGTACTACATCGAGGTCTCGGTGAACCTCGTTGACTGGGTCCGAGTCATCGATCATTCCGAGCACGTCTGTCGCGCAAACCAAACACTTCCGTTCGGAGCTCGAGTCGTTCGCTATATCCGGATAATGCCCTCGGAAAAAGCAAGCGGAGGGAAGAAACTTGAAGGGAATTTCGCGGTCTCGATGCTCAGAGCGTGTCTCGATAAAGCGGAGCTGGCTCTTCATGAAGGATTCTACGCCCCTGAGATGAATGTCGCTAGTGTGTTCGTCGGGGCCTTGTCCATAGAATGCGACGGCACTCATGATGGGAAGATCGACGGAGAGTCCTCGAGTCCCCTCTCGGCTTCACGGACGACCAAGCATCTCATAGGGAGCGGTTCGACTACGATTCAACTATAGCAACCCTACGCAATCAACTACATCCAGATGCTTCTGCCCGATCTTAGTTCGGGTGAATTTTCTTACTATATTGAGACGTCTCTCGACCGACAGTGTTGGACTCGTGTTGTGGACCGAACCGAAGAGCGTTGCTCTTCTCAGCAGGATTTGGAATTTAAAATACTACCGGTGGTCTTCATCAGGATAGTCGGCACAGCATCGACAGGAGACGAGGTTCGTATTGTTGACGACTAGATCACGACCTATGTAGATGTGCTTCAAGATTTGACTGCTCAGAGAGAATTATTTCACCCTCCTTGCCATGATTGATTCGAATATCTTCGTCGCCCAATCACTGACTGTGATCTTCTCACATCCCACAGTATTTCTCCTGCAGTCGCTTCGAATGCCTCGCGAGAGCCAAGCGACCCCCAACGGAAGAAGACTTCTCCTTGTGTATCTGAAGGAACATCTCCCGATTTATTCCGGAAATTCTGAGAATTATCAGCTTTTGAGCCTTGTCTTTTTCGATCGCCTATCTCCCCGCTAGTCCGCCGCTGGTCCACGAGATGTTCTGCTGGTTTTTATAGTCATTCGTCTCCTGAGCCGAAAGAGTCTTGTAACTGTTCTAAGTAAAGCGAAGGGAATCGAATTTGAGATAATCTTCATTTAATTTTCAAACCTTGAACAAACGAGGGTTCGGGTACGCGAGTCCTACCACGTCAATCCGTTCTCTAGAGAGTAGCGATCCGGAATCAGATTGATTCTTGGATCTCACGGCTGTTTCAAGACATAGTAACTCTCATTGTCGGAGGGTGAAGATGCCGGCGAAGGAAGCCCTCCCCTCCGCATTTTGTGACAACATCAGGTACTCAAGCGCAAATCGGCGTCCGAGGATAGGTAGACTCAAAGGTCCGTTAAATGGTCCGTCTTTGGGAGGATTAGCGAGAAATCCGTTTCGAATGGGGTATTTGCAGCGATCGTCCAGCGACATCTGATCGTAATTATTTTTTTAGTGTAGCAGCTCGCAAAGGGATGACCCTATAATTCTCAAAAGGGACTGCGAGTGCGAAAAGGGAAGGTGATATGATGACCTCGAACTCCGGCTCGCCCTGCTATTCTTTGATCGCTTCTCTGGACTCCAAGGAATTCAGCATATTGATATGATTTAAGACACCTACACCGCGCAGCTGGATCCACACTCGATTCCACTGGATGAGGAGACAACTCTGGAAATCCTTCCCATGGTGCATCTTCACATATCGAGAGGATGCAGAGGTCGCTCTGCGAGTGTGTCGAAGGGACTACCGATCGCAGAAGTTCCCCTCGGGAGCGAACTTGCCTGTGGAATTCACTTCGAACATCTCACGCAAACTTCGTGCGATGATTCCAAGATCGCATGGAGCAATCAGAATCACATGTATAATGAGGGAACTTCTTACGAACTGATCGAGTTCGAGTGGACGCGCAATGTTTGTTTTTCCGTTTTCGTTCAAAGTTTGAAAATCATTTACTCCGAATTCCGACCCTGCGCGAATTTCCGAATCGTCTCATCGGGTGTCGCTGTACGGGCCCTTCTCTCTCCCCGGAGGAGGACCGACAGACAACCAAGAGTCCGCAAGGAGACTTTCGATAGTCTCGAGTCGCGAAAAATATACTCGAGTCCCAGTCCAAAGAGTGCTCAGGTTTGTATTCTTCACCGAAGGTGAGCTGGAAGAAGTCGATGAAGACATGAGTTTCATAGCGCGAATCCGAATTGAGAAAGAGGTGGGGAGAATATCCGTGAGTCGACTGACTTATCTCGCGAGGGAGTTTCTCGCCTACCGCTATGTTCGCCGAGTTCCGTGACCGGAGGAGAAGCTTCGAATCAACAGCGCAGCATTGGCGTCGAGGTAGCGAGCTCAACATGGATCATGTCGACGTTCTTTCGGAATGGATTGAGTCCTTAATGAACGACCGAAAGTGACACCTGAATTATCCACCCCAATATTTTTCATATGACTCGGCGTGTCTGCACATCCGGAGATTCTGCTCACCCTCGGCTATTTGTGAGAGAAACTGCTTGTTAACTTGGTTCTCAGAGCTCAGGAGATTACCCAGGTTCTTCGGGCTATCAGGTCGCTGACGGGACCGCGGCGAGCAAGCCGAAAAAGGCAACGCATTGAGTCAACGAGTCAAAGACTCTGCACGGTATATTCAGAACGGATACCATGCATGCGATAAGCCAATTCTTCACTGCATGCCTGTTCACAACGGGCCCGGCCTTGTCATGCAGGTCTGAATGCCTTCGCAATCCGCTACAGCTCTTCTTGTTTGTCGACAAGGTCTTTGGACACCATCTGCACTTTGCTTGAAGGTCACTGATTTTCTCGAAATCGTTCCAAGTTGGATCTGACACGCAAGAGTGAAAGGAAGTTAGGGATTGGTCTGTCGTCTACGAATACTTCAGACAGACTCAATGTGGTGAATCAACATCTCTGTCGTCAAATCGATCGGATCTTGAGGAGTCTAATGGGGATTGCGGGTTTGAGCCGGTCGCGAGAGATTCTCCACTAGGACTCTCTTCTTCAACCGGATCTGAGAAACGTGAGAGTTTTCATAGAGTTTCCCCAGGCGACTCCTTCGGCGGTATCACCGCGTAATCATAGCATACTAGAGATCCCATCAATCCATGAGTGAATTGCTTTGAGGATTCAGGAATCAGGGACCAACCATTGAATCTCCGACGTTTTCAGGGCGGCATCTGATAGAAATCGAGAACATGAGTTAGCGAATTCTCTTCCAGGGAAACTTATTCTGGAGGCATGTCACCGGGCTGTCTACTCTTTATGATACCCGGGCCGAAATTAATATGAGGTGATCTTGCAGAAACGAGCAGTAACTGATTCTTGAATATCGAAGAGTTGGAGCTCTACTTGTGGACTCTCACGGAGCTCACACGATGACAGTAATGTTTCGATTGCTTGATGGCTCACTTTGGTAGGCGGTCGCGATTCCGGGTGAGCAGATGCGAGATGCTTATGTGAAAATTTGTGTGATCAGAATCGATCCACAGGGCTCATCCCCGATTTTCTAGCAAGTCGCTTTTTCGATGAGCATTGGCTGGTTCGGAATGGAGAAATTCGAGCCGAGAGAAATTATTGTCAACATATCAATCTATCCAGGCGACTCGAATAGAAAGCCGCTACAGGGATATCGATTCAAAGCCTGTCTTGCTCGGCGATAACATCTCGAGATTTGAGATTCGACAGTGCTATTTTCGACGCTTGCTGTAAGCGACTTGCCCTCATAAATATGTAATATGTACCCGCATAGATGGACGGCGAGACGAAATACTTTTTGTTTGAGGGCTGAGTTTGAGCTCGATTCGGGTAATCTGAGATGAGATTCTCGTCAATCTAACAAGTCAAATTCACTTGGGACTCAGTCAGTCAGGAGTTTCCATTGGTGATACAGCGGAGGATATTCAACAGATACAGTACAATCCGCTTAATGGGACCACATCGGGGCCGAGCCATTTTGGTCGGAATAAGCGGACGGTCCGATAATGCAGACTGACAGAGACAGGCACCAAAATCACCCATTTCTCTCCCTGGATCGTATCTCACGAGTGCCCTCGACCATCGACGGAATTCCTGGAAGTGTTCCATCTCGTTTCCTCTTCCTCGATGGGCTCTGGGATTCGCTCGAGCTTACCGGTTATCGCAGCTAGCTGCCGGTGACTCGTCCCTGGCTTCTGAGCCTTGTTTTCGTCGAGAATCGCGATCTCTTCCGACAGCGACAAATCTTTCCGCGGCATCTCTCACGACCAATTCGACACTCAGCTGATCGTGTCGAAGCATCTGTTTACTACCCGGCTTGGATCTCAGAATCTTCGTGCGTGCCATTGTGCATGACATCGTGTCACGTGACGCGGCTCGCTGGTCGATCATCTCGAGGTCTTCGCGACCGCCATCGATATCTTCCGCAAAACTGATGTCATTGGCTTCACTCGACCGATCGACGGAGTCGAATTCCGGTAATCGGGGAAAGCCCAACGAGACCGTAGTCTCCGCTGTAGCTCACCTCGGAGTTCCCGGACACTTCCGAGCTGAATTTTTCTACTCCGTTGGCTCTCATATTTCGTAAAATGTCGAATCAAACATGCTCAGCTCATTGGCCTTCCGATGGATAACTTCGAACGTTCGAACTCCCCTTGGATTGCGGAAGAGCTTCCCGCGATAGTCGGAAGCCAATGCAATTTCCGAGACCCTGTTGCCGCCGAGGCTGACGGATTGATCAGTACTGCGGTCTAGCAGCCATTCCCGCCTGACTGATCCCGTTCTGAGCAAGGTACCCAGTTGGTAGGACACATATTCTTGCGACGCAGATCGCGGATCTCGAGTCTCGAGACAGTACACTCCACGGAGAGCTATGAAATTTCCGTCAATTACATCTTCTATCATCAACACGAGGGTTCTTCAACCATGCGGGTATTCGGAAGAGATGAGAGGAGTGCACGGGTCCACCAGCGGATCAGAGGTCGGGATGAGCTTTCGATTCGAGTGCCTGGTCGATCATGAATTCGATGAGTTCTCCGAAGCATCCGCCGAGAGTCGTTCGCGTCGCTCCGCCACCTGAGTCTTCCTTTCTCGCGTGGAGATTCGCATTCCTTGTTCGGAGAAAATACGCGGATATAACTATAACGTCCCGTGGGTCCCGTTCATCATCGTGAGTCTCTTCGCGGAGCAAATCTCTGTCTCCCAATCCGGAGACCTTACTGACCGGATTCTCGGCGAACACATCGAGAGGTTGCGGGATCGAAATCCTACAATACTCTTCATATTCGGTTGGCTTATCAAACCGGAGAATCTGAATTCGCGTCCCGAGATGCGTTCGAATCTACGCACTCTGAGGCAACGCGGGCTCCTCGCGTTGCCTCTAATTTGTTCGATGTCGCGTTTTCCGTTGCTCCAGCCCACGAATCCTCTCACTAGGGGTCGCTGCGGACTCATCGATCGTCCTCCTCTGGAAAAAGATGAGGGCTCCCCATGCACATGCGTCGCGTGAGAGTTCCGAAAGCGGCGATCGACAGTGCATGTCTTTCGATACCGAATTCTGACCGTCGAGTTTGCAATACCGTAACGAGTGAAGGTGAGGTGAAGAGTTGGATCCATGGAATGATTCCATAATGGTCAAGGCAGATAGAGTTTGGGAAGTCTTTTCGACCGAACAAACCGAAATTTTTATTCTTGATCTAACAAACCGAATGATTTATTTCGAGCCGTTACCACCGGGGACTGTCCGGAAGACCCAGAAGTGTCTTCTCTCCGGTCTCTCACAACCGATAATGGCGGAAAAATCGAAAGCAGAGCTTCGGGAGGGGGCAGCGAGCAAGAAGTCCGGAATCGATCATGTCTACGATCTCTCGAAATGGATCGGATCCATTTTGTCGGACAAGGATTCCTCGGATATTACTCTCGTGGTTGAGGGCGAAGCTATATACGCTCACAAGATCATTCTCGCTGCATCATGTGATTACTTCAGGTACTTGTACGACTCGTTCCGTATTCCATGGTGTCAATAATCTTAAACGTTTGTAACCGAATCACGCGCCTCCGCGCTCTCCCTCCGATAAAGACGTCGAGATAAACTTCGATGCGCAGAGTGCAGTACATCTCCTTTGTGAAGCAGAGTCTATTCCTTTCGCATGCCTCCGAACTAGCCGTTTTGCGTCTTGCACGTTTCCATCAAGATTCAGACGAGAAACTATACGATCGCCCAGCCTCGCAGATTCCTAGAATCAACACATGGCTTGGCGTCCGTCTGCACGTTTTAGACCGCACCGAATGCGCTTGAGAATGAGAGCTGGAGGGAGTTGCTCGTTTCCTTGCCCACCACGTCTCTTCAACGCAGATCTAGACAGACGAATGCCCATCTAATTTGGCGTGATTGAAGCAAGACCCTGTCCCTCAGACATGGGTGAGCCCTCCCGAATCGGTGGGCGTAGGAGCCTAGGGAGTGTGTGTGAATAGAACGAGCCAGCCGATCGCCCGTGGATTCCTGGAATCTGTCGTTTTCCGTGTGATTCTCCAAGTTCCTTCGACAATAAGAGTAGTTTCTCTCGATCGACTCTTCGTCGGGGGCAAGCGTGATAGTGGGTAAGCCTGACGACGCGGTGGCCGGCAAATTTGTGATCGGGGTCGACAATCCTCTCGATGCGAAGATTTCGTCGAGCTCAGAGGCCGTGGCCGGAGTTCCGGTGGTCGCAAGGAGAAAAGCCGAGAGTCATCACCGAAGCAACACTTTGAGATCCGCTCTCCGCCTCCGACCATCATCTTCATCATTTCAAGCTTCTCGGCATGTACCGTTCCCATTCTCACAAAGTTTGTGAATTCAGCATAAATATATCTTCCTCTGGTGCAGTGAGTGAGAAGCCATTCTCGTTCTTCATGTTATTCACAATTAGTGTACTTTGAATATTTCCTACGAGGTCGACATTCAGCTCTACGATCTACTACAGAGTGCGTGGAACGATTTTTGAACATTTCGAGATCCCGGATCCTTCACGAATCTGTTGCAATCATATTTCTAATTCGGAAGCTCCGAGATTCTAAACATTTGGCCATTTCCCAGGGCGCTTCTTCAAGGAGGAATGATGGAGTCGGACCAGGAAGAGGTCGAGCTGAAGGACGTCCCAGCCCGAGGGTTCAAAGCGGTGCTTAAGTACATCTACACCGCGCAGTTGGAATTGAAATCAATGGATGTTGAGACGATTCTGGAAGTTCTTTCCGTGGCAGATCTCTATGGACTCGAGAAGATGCGAACATCACTCTGCGAGTATCTCAAGGAAATTATGTCTGCCGACAATGTCTTGCTAATCTGCGAGTCACTTGAGTCGCTCAGCCTCAATCACTTGCATGAAGTTTGTGTCCATTTCAAGGATCAAGTCCCACAGGCAGTTCTCGAGAGCGAGGCTTTCTGTACTTCTCGAGCGAGTACTTTGAGTCGAATTCTTTCGCGTGATTCTTTCTGCGCGGACGAGATCGACATCTTTAGGGCTGTGACTCGTTGGTGCAAGAAAAATCCTGACCCAGAAGACCAGGCTGAAGTGCTGGGTGTGCTTCGACTACCACTCATCCCGACGAAAAGTCTTCTCACTGAGGTCAAGAGCTCGAGTCTGATAACGACGGATCGATTGATCGAAGCCATCCAGATGCGGGAGTGTCATTCAGCAGATCTGCCTCACAGGGGCGTCCTGACACAAGGACAGAATCTCGCCACCAAAGAAAACGGGGCGAAGGAGCTCATTATCGTAGAGGACGATTCCGAAGTTATCGCTTTCCCGGAGGCCAACCTGCGCTATCACAGCGAAGATATGCCCGAAGAGGACTGCTCTATTGATCTGCCGGTCGAAGAGGCGTTCACAGTTGCGCTCAGCAAAGCCTTCTTCGTCGACTATATCTCGTTCCGATTGCCTGATGGACGCTCGGCGAGTTTCGGGTACCACGTCGAGGTCTCGGTCGACTTGATGAATTGGATCCGTGTCTTCGATCAACCCGAATTTGTCTGTCGCTCTCTCCAAAGACTCCACTTCAAGCCGAGAATCGTTCGTTCCATTCGACTCCTCTGCTACGAGCTCCCGGGGCAACCAATCGATTATTTGTCCGAATTCGAAGCGTCTTATACTGGGCAAGATTGGAATTCTTGCAAAGGGTACTACGCTCCCGCGGAGAATGTCGCCACAGTGAGCTTGGGAGCTGCTGTCATAGAATGCTGGAGAGGCAACGATGAGATGATAGGTGGCAAGTCCAAAGACGAGCTCGCGGGAACAGGTCGGACCGAGCATATAATAGGTGGCAGGCCGATCATCGTTCAGTTGTCGCAGCCGTATGCCGTGAATTCCATCAGTATGGTCCTGCCACAAGAAGATTCGCATGATTTCTCCTACATCGTCGAAGTTTCTTCCGATCGCAAAAAATGGACTCGTGTGATTCATCGCAGCCGGGATCGTTGTACATCTTTGCAGAGATTGAAATTCGCTACAGTTCCGGTCAGCTTCATCAAAATATGTGGTACAGCATCTTCTGGCAGCAAGGTGTGTGCGTCGGAGGAGACTCTGATTATTGGAAATCACAGCGAGATGAATTTTATCAGAAGGTCTCGCTAAGGCTCGGCTCTCCCCTCAGGTTTTTTCCTGCAGCGAGTTCAAGTGCTGGGCTGAAAAGGATGATGCTATCTGTAAGGAAACAGAACAGAGCAATGGTCAGCCAACAGAAGCAAAGGTCAGTTACCACCTGAGGGAACAGCCAACCCTCTTGTTCCACAGATTTTGTTGACCGCCTGTTCACGGATGTATTTGTCGCTCTGCAGATGGGATCTCCGCCCCTTGCGTGAAGATTGGCCGAACCTCCTTCGCATATCCGGAAGAAGGGATTTCTCATGCACACACCTGCGAGTCACCGCTGAGCAATCTCTTGTAGAATATCGATCTGGCCTACAATAAATCATTGACAGCAGCGGAGGAGACGGTGCTTTTTCGCAGAGGAAGACGGTCAGTGGATCGCAAGTCATAGGTCTCAAACAAAACGAATGACTTAACGAGGGAATAAATTAATGTAGTTCTGTATTTCGATTATCCGCTAAGTTTTCTCACTCGATATCGATGGTGATGAAATTGAATTCCATTCCTCGGTGGTCAAGTCAGCATACCTCTTCCCCCGAGACGGACAAGTGACTCTGACTCAATCAGCGATAGCCCACTCGCAACCGAACAATCATTGTCTCCCTATCCATTCCCCGAGTCGATTCCGCGAGATCTTGCGTCGAAATTTACCTATGTAGAGAAGTCAATATTGGCGAACTAAGCATGTTTTGCGATTTCGTCTGATCAGTCGATGCTCGAGGATTTGGGCTCTGAGGATCGGAATATGCTCATCCCTAGCTCGATGATGTGCTCCGACAACTTCTTGCGACTTCTATTGCACACCTTGCCTTCTAAAGGATATTCGTATCACATTGAAACTTCGGTCAACAAACGAGAATGGACCCGTGTTGTGGATCGCGCCGCGGAAGATTGCGTCTCAGCTTCCCTTCCCTGCCAGTGGCTTTCATCAAAATCGTAGCTACGTCCTCGAGGTCCGGTGAGGTTGGTATAACTTCATTAAGGCTCTCTCGGAGGCATTGCAGATGGATCGATGATTCAGACGGTGCTCGATGCGACCGCAGATCCTATGCTGCGTCATCGAAGTTCCCGTGTGACGAGGAGATCTCGCTCGGAGGTCTCATTCTGCCCTCTTATTCATTTCTTATATCTGCTTCCAGTATTTCGAATGTCGTGCAATGAGCGAGGGATCGCGGAGGGAACGGATGTCGCTCGAGCCCGATAGAGCGCGGATCTCCGAGCTCGGACTGCCTTGAGGTTGAAATGTCGGTGGCGGATCGAGGACAGTTGCTCCGTCGAGGAAACACGGCCGAGTGTGGGTTTGGTCCGAGATGAAGACGTCTCACCGAGGCGATTCCTTCGACCTCGGGAGCCCCGACGCAGTCCCGGATGAACTTCAGCGATTCCCATCGCTTCAATACTTCAGGCGCCGCCTGGCGAAGGAGGGTCGCTCTAGCGGCGGCGTGGCCGTATTATGCAAGGAAATACTTCGAAGCATGAAGATATTATTGGCAGAAGACGACTGCATAATGTTGAAAGGTGACAGAATCAACGTGGCGGCTCTCTATGTCAGACCTAAAGGCATAGAGGAGATATCCGACATGGTGGAAAAATTGATCAACTGTCTCCAGCTGATCCCCGAGTCGGGCTTGACAGTCTCAGCCGGCGACCTGAACGCAAGAGTGGACAGTCCTGAGAGTAGAATTCAAGCAATGATCTCGACCCTGAATGACTTTGGTTTCAGGATTCCCTCTAGTCCACTTCCCCTTACATTCAGAGGACGAGATTGCGGCTGCTCGACGATAGACATTTTCGCGTTCAACGGGAATCCGAGCCTGATCTCCTATATCGGCCTCGACAATTAACTAAGAGAGGGAGCGGACTTGAAGTGCTGCAGCCCGGTAGGCCTGGAAATCACTCTTCCTGGGACAACCCTACGTGTGAGACGGTCACCGACGTCCCCCGTCCAGGAACATCGATTCGTCAAGAACCTCGCTACTGGCCGCTCTGGGAACCCCTGCTGAGAGGCCGTCGGTTCTTGACATTGATCAGCTCAATCTTGTGATCTCATCAGTCCTCAGAGGCTGTGCGCTTACCCCGTCCCCGAAGAAAAGCGGGAGATCCTGGTGGAAGCCGGCCTGTTCAGAGGCGAAAAAAGCCCTAACGTCGGTAAGAACCGCGATCCCCCTCTACCCGAACCTGGAGTTCCTCCTGCCCCCGCTGAAGACGAGCTACAGCAGATGCCTTCGCGCCGCCAAGCTTGACCACGACAAACGGCCGGGAATGCAACGACTCTTGAAAGCCGCACGATCCCCGTACGTCTGTCTGAGACACTTTCGACCTCAGAGAACAGTCTGTCCCATCGACGTATCAAGCTTGCAACGGCATTTCGGAAACATGTTCGCGTCGACAGACACAACGCCACAGACCCTCCCAATAGTCAATTCGGTTTGGAGCGAGGTGGATCTCGAATGGCGGAAAACTCTCGACGAAGATTTCAACATTGCTGAGGTGCACAACATCATTTGCTCGCTTCCCTCGAACAAGGTCTGTGGCGAGGACGAGATCTTCAATGAGCACCTCAAAACTGCCACCGTTCTAACACCGATCTGGACAGGGCTATTCAACAAGTGTCTCGCGCAAAGTGCAATTCCAAACAAGTGGTCTTCATGCATCATGATTCTCATAGCGATAAACAAAAGCCGAAAGAGTCTTGTAACTGTTCAAAGTAAAGCGGAGGAAATCGAATTCGAGATGATCTTCATTTATTCTTCAAACCTCGAACAAACGAGGGTACCGGTACGTGAGTCCTATCACGTCAATCCGTTCTCGAGAGAGTAGCGATCCGGAATCAGAATGATTCTCGGATCTCACGGAGCGGGGAAGATGGTTTCGATAGGGGTTAGAGCTCCTGCAGTCTTGCATCGACCTCAGAAGATTCCGTCCGAAAGTCCGCTAAATGGTCCGTCTTCGAGAGGTTAAGCGAGAAATCCGTTTCGAATGGGATATTTTAATACAAAACGAGTACGAAACGAGTCTCAACGGTTTCGCGCAATGTTTGTTTCTCCGTTTTTGTACAAAGTGAAAATCGCTTACTCCGAATTCCGACCCTGCGCGAATATTTGAATCGTCTCATCTCGCTCTACAGTCCTTTCTTTCCCCCGGCGGAAGACCGACAGACAACAAAGAGTCCGCAAGGAGACTTTCGATAGTCTCGAGTCGCCTTAAATATACCCGAGTCCCAGTTCCAAGAGCCCTAAGGCTTGTATTCTCCACCGAAGGTGAGCTGGAGGGAGTCGATGAAGACATGAATTTCATAGCGCGAATCCGAGTTGAGAAAGAGGTGGGGAGAATATCCGTGAGTCGACTGACTTATCTCGCGAGGGAGTTCTTCGCCTATCGCTTTGTTCGCCGAGTTCCGTGACCGAGGGAGAAGCTCCGAATCCATAGCGTTGGCGTCGAGGTAGCGAGCTCTACATGGATCATGTCGACGTTATTTCGGAATGGATCGGGTCCTTGATGAACGTCCGAGAATCGTCGGACATCACGCTCATCGTCGAAGGAGACGCTTTCGTTGCGCACAAGATCATGCTCGCTTCATCCTGTGAATACTTCAGGTTCGTGAACTACGAATGGCGTCCGGTATCAGGCGCCGGGTCTGGACTCTCCAGCGATAGGGGACGACATACGCAAGGAGTCATCCGTGACTAGCTCCGCGCGTGACTTTTTCCGTCTCAAGTCTCGATACTATCTGAAGGATGCGCTTGCCTCGTTGTAGATATACATATCATGTAAGCTCAGGTCCAAATCGCTTTTAAGGGCGCTCCTTCACGCGACCATGATCGAATCGTGTTCAAGAAGGAATCGTTCTGGAAGGCATCTCTGAAAGAGGATTCAAGATGTTGCTGAAGCACGTCCATACGGCGCAGTTGGATTTGAGAGCTACGGATATACGGACAAATCTCGGAACCCTTTCCGTTGCGCACCTATGTATATGGATTGGAGAAACTGTAGGCATCGCTTTGCATTCATCTCGAAGACTTTCTATCGGTCGAAAATATCTGCCCAATCTCCCAAGCAGTGGAGAGCTTGCGCCTCGAGCACCTGAGCGGAGCTTAATTACATTTGATGGATCAGGTCCCGGAAGCAGTTTTCAGTATCTAGTTTTTCTGTGACCTTCGGGCGAGATGCGGGATTCTGGGCTTTCGGGATTCCGGGTTGCCGGTATTCAGGGCTTTCGGGATTCTCAAATCGACCCAGACAAGAACCCCACGTATCAGACTATGGCTCGATCGTTCCCTCAGAATTTCTGCTGCAACCAATGCGAATACTGGGCGGAAATGGATGAGGGTATCCGGGTGGGGAGAAGAGCAGTGGTCAGCGAACAAGTTCAGAGATCAATTTTATCCTGTAAAAATGTATCAATATTTTTCTCCGTCAAGTTCCGGAGGTTGTCTGGTGTAGCTCCCCATTGAAACATTCACATCCGGATGGGGTCGATGGAGGCATGCTCAGTCCCAATCCGTTACATAGCCCCTTGGACGGACAATCAAGTCAGAGTCCATCAGATTTAGCGATGACTCAATCGTGGTCTCCCTGGTCAAGTCCCAGGGTCTGGATCGAGCGACGTCACGTAGGGCTGTTAAAAATCCGTACTCTCCGAGAACCGTGATTGACGGGTACGCGAGAACCGAGACAGTAGAACCGCGGATCAGAACCGAAGAGGACGGTGATTTTCCCTCGCCCGTGTGTGCCCGCGGAATACTTGACTCATGTCTCGAAAGCCATCTTACACGAGCGGAGGCTCTTCAATTTAGTCCCGACAAGAGCGATTAAGTTTCGGACTCGACGGTCTTGCTCCAGATGGAAATGTCATCGAGAAGTTCAGGACGTAAGCTCGCTCTACTCTCCCGTAATATAAAGTAGAGTACGCTGAAATCTCTCTATGGTTGAACGGAGGTGGGTGGGACGGCTTCGAGGATTTTCTTGCACAATTCGAGAGAAAGCGTGTATCAGCGACGTTTTGTCGTCATTCATCACACAGAATTGCTCTCACGGTTCATCATTCGCTTCTGAATTCTGGCGAAAGACCGGTTCTATCCGGTTCCAGAACCCGCGGGTTCTATGAAGCGAGAGAATTTGCGCGATTCCGGAACCGAAACAATACCCCGGGTACCCGCGGGTTTCGGACCGCGGTTCGGGTACACTGACAGCCCTAGTGTGACGTGCCCTCGTAAGGGGTCGGGGGGCTGCACAATGCTCCCGGTATAGCCACGAAACCCCAGTGCTGGACCACGAATCGGTCTGATCTTGGTCCATCTATCCGAAGATGTCTCCGTTCGCATCTGTGGCACCACTTTTTTGGGGGAACTGATTCAAGACTTCTCTGAAACTAATGGAGCAGATCGCGCATACCGGTCGCTGGTCCGTGCCGAGCTCTCGTTCTTCATCTCCTGGTATTTCCTCGACCGCTTCCCATTCCCGCCTGACTGATCCCGTTCTGAGCGGGGTGCCCACTTGGTAGGGCACATATTCTCGCGACGCAGATCGCGGGTCTCTAGTCTCGAAACAGTATACTCCACGGAGAGCTATGTTTGTTAATTACATCTTCTATCATCAACACGAGGGTTCTTCAACCATGCGGGTATTCGAAAGAGATGAGAGGAGTGCACGGGTCCACCAGCGGATCAGGGGTCGGGATGAGCTTTCGATTCGAGTGCCTGGTCGATCATGCATTCGATGAGTTCTCCGAAGCACCCGCCGAAAGTCGTCCGCGTCTCACTGCGCCACCTGAGTCTTCCTTCCTCGCGTGGAGATTCGCATTCCTTGTTCGGAGAAAATACGCGGATATAACTATAACGTCCCGTTCATCATCGTGAGTCTCTTCCTGGAGCAAATCTCTGTCTCCCAATCCGGAGACCTTTCTGACCGGATTCTCGGCGAACACATCGAGAGGTTGCGGGATCGAAATCCTACGATACTCTTCATATTCGCTTGGCTCATCAAACCGGAGAATCTGAATTCGCGTCCCGAGATGCGTTCGAATTTACGCACTCCGAAGCAACGGGCTCCTTGCGTTGCCTCCAATCTCTTCGATGTCGCGTTTCCCGTTTCTGAAGCCCACGAATCCCCTTACTAGGGGTCGCTGTAGACTCATCGATTGTCCTCCTCAGAAAAAAGTTGAGGGCTTCTCTCTCTTCTTGCGTCGCGTGAGAGTTCCGAGAGCGGTGATCGACAGTGTATGCCGTCGAGTTTGCAATACTGTAACGAGTGAAGGTGAGGTGAAAAGTTGGATCCATGGAGAGATTCCATAATGCTCAAGGTAGATAGAGTTGTGGAAGTCTTCTCCACCGAACAAACCGAATGATTTATTTCAAGCCGTTACCACCGGGAGTTTCCAAAAGACCCGGAAGTGTCTTCTCGCCGGTCTCTCACGATCGATAATGGCGGAAGAATCGAAAGCAAAGCTTCTGGAGGGAGCAGCGAGCAAGAAGTCCGGAATCGATCATGTCTACGATCTCTCGAAACGCATCGGATCCATTTTGTCGGACAAGGATTCCTCGGATATTACTCTCGTGGTTGAGGGGGAAGCTATATACGCTCACAAGATCATTCTCGCTGCATCATGTGATTACTTCAGGTACTCGTACGACTTGTTCCGTATTTCATGGTTTGGCGTCCGTCTGCACGTGTCATAGACCGCTCCGAATGCGCTTGAGAATGAGAGTTGGAGCGAGTTGCTCGTTTCCTTGCCCACCATGTCCCTTCAACGCAGCTCAAGACAGACGAATACCCATCTGAGTATTCGTGATTGAAGCAAGGCCCCTGTCCCTCAGACATGCGTGAGCCCTCCCGAATCGGTGGCCTTTATTGCACGTTCTTGGCCCGGCCATCGGAGCGGCGCCGGCGTGAAACTGTTATGAGGGAGAGTATATCACTGAGAACTAGGAGGATCTCGGCAGAGCACATGATGCTTGCGGAGGATTCGAATTCACAGGGAGGTGACTACACGGATTCTCCCACAGGAGGGCGGAAGCGATGAAATTCACGGCAAAAAAATGAGGAATTCGTCGTTCAAGAGCCCCGAGAATATCGTGGAGATAAAGTTGAGAGAGTGTCTTAGAACGAATGGAGAGCGAGCGTGTGAGGAATCGACGGGCGTAGGAGCCTAGGGAGTGTGTGTGAATGGAGCGAGCTTTCGATCGCCCGTGGATTCCTGGAATCTGTCGTTTTCCGTGTGATTCTCCGAGTTCCTTCGACTATAAGAACAGTTTCTCTCGATCGACTCTCCGTCGGCGGCGGCGGCAAGCCTGATAGTGGGTGAGCCTGACGACGCGGGAGCTGGCAAATTGGTGATCGGGGTCAACAATGCTCTCGATGCGAAGATTTCGTCGAGCTCAGAGGCCGTGGTCGGAGTTCCGGTGTTCGCGAGGTGGAAAGCCGAGAGTCATCACCGAAGCAAGACTTTGAGATCCGCTCTCCGTCTCAGACCATCATCTTCATCATTTCAAGCTTCTCCTGCATGTGCCGTTCCCTTTCTCACAAAGTTTGTGAATTGGGCATGAATATATCTTCCTCTGGTGCCAAATAGTGAGAAGCCATTCTCGTTCTTCATGTTATTCACAATTAGTGTACTTTGAATATCTCCGACGAGGCAGCTCCTATAGACAGCATGGAACGATTTTTGAACATTTCGAGATCCCGAATCCTTCACGAATCTGTTGCAATCATCTTGCCAATTCGGATGCTCCGTGATTCTAAACATTTGGCCATTTCCCAGGGCGCTTCTTCAAGGAGGAATGATGGAGTCGGACCAGGAAGAGGTCGAGCTGAAGGACGTCCCAGCCCGAGGGTTCAAAGCGGTGCTCAAGTACATCTACACCGCGCAGTTGGAATTGAAATCAATGGATGTTGAGACGATTCTGGAAGTTCTCTCCCTGGCAGATCTCTATGGACTTGAGAAGATGCGAACATCACTCTGCGAGTATCTCGAGGAAACTATGTCCGCTGACAATGTCTTGCTAATCTGCGAGTCAATTGAGCCGCTCAGCTTCAAGCACCTGCATGAAGTTTGTGTCCATTTCATGGATCAAGTCCCACAGGCAGTTCTCGAGAGCGAGGCTTTCAGTACTTCTCGTGCGCGTACTTTGAGTCGAATTCTATCGCGTGATTCTTTCTGCGCGGAGGAGATCGAGATCTTTAGGGCTGTGACTCGTTGGTGCAAGCAAAATCCTGACCCAGAAGACCAGGCCGAAGTGCTGGGTATGCTTCGACTACCACTCATCCCGACGAAAAGTCTTCTCACTGAGGTCAAGAGCTCGGGTGTGATAACGACGGATCGATTGATCGAAGCCATCCAGATGCGGGAGTGTCATTCAGCAGATCTGCCTCTCAGGGGCGTCCTGACACAAGGACAGAATCTCGCCACCAAAGAAAACGGGGCGAAGAGGCTCATTATCGTAGAGGACGATTTCGAAGTTTTCGCTTCCCCGGAGGCCAACCTTCGCTATCGCAGCGGAGATACGTTGGTCAATGACTTTAGTACGTATCTGCCGGTCAAAGAGGCGTTCACAGTTGCGCTCAGCAAAGCGTTCTTCGTCGACTATATCTCGTTCCGAATGCGTCATGAAAGCTCGGCGAGTTTCGGGTACCACGTCGAGGTCTCGGTCGACCTCGTGAATTGGATCCGTGTCTTCGATCAACCCGAATTAGTCTGTCGCTCTCTCCAAAGACTTCACTTCAAGCCGAGAGTCGCTCGCTTCATTCGACTCCTCTGCCACGAGCTCCCGGGGCATCAAATCGGTTATTTGTCCGAATTCGAAGCGTCTTATACTGGGCGAGATTGGAATTCTTGCAAAGGGTACTACGCTCCTTCGGAGAATGTCGCCACAGTGAGCTTGGGAGCTGCTGTCGTACAATGCTGGAGTGGCACCGATGAGATGATAGCAGGCGAGTCCAACTACAGGCTTGCGGGAACAGGTTGGACCGAGCATCAAATAGGTGGCGAGCCGATCATCGTTCAGTTGTCGCAGCCGTATGCCGTGAATTCCATCAGTATGGTCCTGCCAAGAGAAAATTCGCATGATTTTTCCTACTTCGTCGACGTTTCTTCCGATCGCAAAGAATGGACTCGTGTGATTGATCGCTCCCAGGATCGTTGTAAATCCTTGCAGAGATTGAAATTCGCTACAGTTCCCGTCAGCTTCATCAAAATATGGGGTACAGCATCTTCTGGCAGCAAGGTGTGTGCGTCGGAGGAGACTCTGATTATTGGGAATCACAGCGAGATGAATATTATCGAAAGGTCTCGCTAAGGCTCGGCTCTCTCCTCAGAATTTTTCCTGTAGTGAATTCAAGTGCTGGGCTGAAAAGGATGAGGCTATCCCGAAGGAAACAGAACAGAGCAATGGTCAGCCAACAGAAGCAAAGGTCAGTTACCACCTGAGGGATTAGCAAATCCCCTTTTGTTCCAGAGATTTTGTTGAACGCCTGTTCACGGATGTCTTTGTCGCTCTGCAGATGAAATCTCCGCCTCTCGCGTGAAGATCGGCCGAACCTCCTTCGCATATCCGGATGAAGGGATCTCTCATGCACAGACCTAGGAGTCACCGTTGAGCAATTTCTTCTAGAATATCGATCTGGCCAACGATGAATCATTGACAGCAGCGGAGAAGACGGTGCTTTTTCGCAGAGGAAGACGGTCAGTGGATCGCAAGACATGGGTCTTAAACGAAACGAATGAGTCAACGAGGGAATAAATTAAAATGTAGTTCTGTAGTTCGATTATCCGCTAAGTTTTCTCACTCGATATCGATGGTGATGAAATTGAATTCCATTCCTCGGTGGTCAAGTCAGCATACCTCTTCCCTCGAGACGGACAACGGACTCTGACGAATCAGCGATAGCCCACTTGCAACCAAACAATCATTGTCTCTCCATCCATTCCCCGAGTCGATTCCGCGAGATCTCGCGTCGGAATTCACCTAGATGGAGAAGTCAATTTGGCGAACGAAGCATGTTTTGCGATTTCGTCTGATCAGTCGATGCTCGAGAATTTGGGCTCTGAGGATCGGAATATGCCCATCCCCAGCTCGATGATGTGCTCCGACAAGGACAGCGACGCGGCGCCGGCGCCCGGAACGGATGTAGTCGGGACGTCCCTACGAGATTCGGGCGCGAGATGGTTTTCCCACCGAAGGTTCGGCACGTCCTCATCAGGTCCTGACTGAATAAGCTTGGGTGCGACAAAACGGCGCGACCAAAACGGCGCGGAATTCTGGGCGCCGAGCCCAAGGAAGATCTTTCTGGGAGGAGCGCGACAATAGTGCGAGGCCTATCCAATTGGGCGTCGATCAAAGCAGTATCACGATATTGAGTCAGGTTAGGTTAGTTCCCCGGGCGAGCGAAGCGAGCACATCCGGAAGCTATGATAGGCGAGCGCAAGCGAGCATATTCGAAGCAATGACATTGCGAGGTGGCCTGAACCTTAGTTTGGGAGGCTTGAGTTAGGCCGCTCCGCAGCCTAACTCAAGTCGTCCCCAACAGCTCCGAAACTTAGGTTTAGAGCCGAACCACGCCCGGAAGGCAGCGCCACGGAATTATTAGGCGCCATCATAGGCTGCGCTGTTGAAGGCCTGCTAACCTAAACCGACTCGATATAGTGGAACTGCTACGAGAAGCGTCGAGTTGATTGTGCAGCACACTGTGGTGTTGCCTCTTTCAGGGAAATCCTCCATTGATTCAGTGCCCAGAACGGCGCCGAATTTCGGGCACAATCCAAACTCGCGGACCCCACAAACGCAATCTTGTGACGCCTCTTCTAAAATGACTATCATGGAACGAGTCCGCGACGTCCGATCACAAACCGAGAGCTTTATCGGTCGTTGATTGAAGTGCTTCGAGCATCCTATCCTACATATCGAGATTTCGTACGAATCGGAATCGTCTTTTTTCCAAAGGTTCCGCAAGCCTGAATGGTGCCCAGAATTCCGCGCCGTTTTGTCGTGGACCCGAATAACTTCGAATCGCGAGGTTTGTGTAAAGCGGTACCGACGTAGTCTGCTTGCGGAGTCGCGTAAGCTCGTAGAATATTATTCCGGTTTGCCGGAAACACTGCTCCTAGAAAGCGAATATGTTTCTGTCAATCGGATATGTCTTCGGTCGGATCTATGGCACCTCTGGTCTCTTCCTGGCTGGACTGACTATCCAAGCGCCGGTCGCGGTTCCGAGCGGAGCTCGGGCTTCGGACCAGTTAGTGACTCATTGACCGGTAAATGGACTTTGGAATTTCGTGTTATTGGAACATGCAATTCCATCGTTACTCATCATTAGAGCTCGGGAGTTCAGGCGCTGAACAATGCCGGAAATGGCAATTAAAGAGGCACTGAAATACCTTAAAATAGGCACCCAAACGAGGCAAAGCAGGCATGATAGGCAGGGCAAACGGCATCTAACCGTCCGTGAGTGCCGTTTGATGATTTTACGTTGTCTTCCGCGGTGCCATCGTTCAGTAATCGGGGTCGGTCTGATAGGTCGCATTTTGCATGATCGGAAAAAAAATCGACCCCTAGGCGGACCATTGGATTCTATCGGAAGCAGGATGTGTTCCTGGGTTCGCCCATCGTATTCATCGCCGAATCCGTTCGTAGTACCTAAATGTCCCCAGAATCCCCGGAATTCAGCTTCTGGTGGCTCAAGAAGGCACTCAAGGCGCGGAAAGACCTAAATCGGTATTTTCGATGGAAGAGCGTCGAAAAAGATGACTATGGGCATTTATGGCAGAATGCCTGATCTTCCGAGCTCTATTTATGATATTACCAGCAGTGCGGGTGCTCCGCGCCAATCCTTATATTGCTGTATCTACAGGCATTCACAGGAATCTCCATGTGAAAGACTTTGGCGCATCGTTCAAAGTCGGCCGGTTGGGATGCCGTCGAAACATTATACCGAGATCATTTGAGTTTGCGCACTTCGGCATGTTTCCGTCGGTTTTTCACCCGTGAGATTCTGAGGTATCGTGTGCCTCATTGGACTATTCGTTATCGGTTATCGCCAGATCAAGGATCCGAATAGAAATGACACGGACAGGAATCTGAAGCAAAACTCCCCCTAAGCATCTGTTCTTCGAGGATAATTTTCATTTAATTTGTTCACTACTGAGAGGAAGAAATGATCAAGTTGGATGGCGTCATCCGAGGCATTTTCCCTTCTATCTGTCTATCTAAATGGAAAGAAGTTTCCTTTCTTTCGGTAAGTACTCCGTAGCAGAGATACGAAAAATCGGAAGAGCCCGTGATATGAGAATCGCGAAAACTCAGAAAAACTCCTGACAATCCACCGCGGATCTTTCATTGAAAGCAATCCGAATCAAGCCTGGTGGGAAAGACGCGACGCCTTCCCTGAGGTGCTGGTGTGAGGGGCGGAATGATTTCTTTCGGGCACTTCACCCTGAGACTCGGATTCACCGTCTGTGATAGAATCAGCCCCGAACTGACCTCGAATCGTGTCGACGAAGGGAGTTGACACCTGAACGCCTTCTCACCATTCCCGTCTCGGCGGGCGGCCATGTAGAACGATCAAATTGTGCCCGATATCTCGAATCGATCGGCGCCGTGACCGAGTGCTCAAACTCCGGAAGGACGGCGGGGAGATGGTCTCTACTCTAGACCTACTCCGAAATGGTGGACGTCTGTGATGTTGCCGAAAGGATTGGATCACTCTTGCTCGATGAAGGATCGTCTGACGTGACTCTCACCGTTGACGGCGAGGCGCTCCCGGCCTTCAGACTTATACTCTCATTTTTGTGTGACTTCGTCAGCTATTTCGTCAATATTCAAGTTCCTTAATCATATTCCTTCCAACTGGAGCTATCTATTTTCACCAATATTCAGCCTCCCGCGGCCTCTAATGCTTCAAGATTGCGGTCGATGTCTCCCCGCGAGCATCACCGCATGCGCACTTCCGGTCGGCCTGGAAATCACTCTTCCCGGGACAACCCTACGTGTGAGACGGCCACCGAGTCCCCCGTCCAGGACCATCGATTCGTCAAGAACCTCGCTACTGGCCGCTCGGGGAACCCCAGCTCAGAGGCCGTCGGTTCTTGACATTGATCAGCTCAATCTTGTGATCTCATCAGTCCTCAGAAGCTGTGCGCTTCCCCCGTCCCCGAAGAAAAGCGGGAGATCCTGGTGGAATCCGGCCTGTTCAGAGGCGAAAAAAGCCCTAACGTCAGTAAGAACCGCGATCCCCCTCTACCCGAACCTGGAGTTCCTCCTGCCCCCGCTGAAGACGAGCTACAGCAGATGCCTTCGCGCCGCCAAGCTTGACCACGACAAACGGCAGGAAATGCAACGACTCTTGAAAGCCGCACGATCCCCGTACGTCTGTCTGAGACACTTTCGACCTCAGAGAACAGTCTGTCCCATCGACGTATCAAGCTTGCAAAGGCATTTCGGAAACATGTTCGCGTCGACAGACACAACGCCACAGACCCTCCCAATAGTTAGTTCGGTTTGGAGCGAGGAGGATCTCGAATGGCGGAAAATTCTCGACGAAGATTTCAACATTGCTGAGGTGCACAACATCATTTGCTCGCTTCCCTCGAACAAGGCCTGTGGCGAGGACGAGATCTTCAATGAGCACCTCAGAACTGCCACCGTTCTAACACCGATCTGGACAGGGCTATTCAACAAGTGTCTCGCGCAAAGTGCAATTCCAAACAAGTGGTCTTCATGCATTATGATTCTCATAGCGAAAAGCTAAAGCTCTCCAAACGACCTGAACTTCTGGCGTGGCATCTGTAAGAAGAGCTGCGGGTACAAGATTCTATCGCGCCTGATTGTTCAACGCCTAGTCCAGTTCATTGAGTGCACAGAAAGGCTGCCTGATGAACAACATGGCTTCAGGCCCGAGCGCTCCACCATCACAGCCTTCGAGATCCTCCAACAAGCCATCGGAAGATCTCTGAAGAATGAAGGAGGATCCCTATATGCTGTCTTCGTCGATTTCAAGTCTGCCCTCGACACGGGCGCGCGCGACCTGGTGCTCCTCCGACTCTCCCAGTCCGGCGTTCCCCCCGGCTCCTTGGTCTTTTCGCCGCCATTCTCAAAGTCAACTACAGGAAAATCGATGATGGGCAATGCTTTAGTGAGGAGGTCCCTCAAACCACAGGCTTCGCTCAGGGTGATAACTTGAGTCCGATATTATTTTGTCAACTGATAGCGGAGATACCATCCAAGCTATCCGCCCGCAACCCGTTCGTGAAGACCCTTAAGTATGCTGACGATCTTGTCATCTACAGCTCGAGCCATCGTATTTTTCGCTCTATTCAGTGCGTGGATAAGTATATCAATCAATTCTTCCGGAAGATGTTGAGGTCGTGTTTCCTCAGGCATAAGCAGCTGATCTCTGTAGAATTCAAAACATTGTCCGAAGCCCACGTATCTTCGAACCGCATTTTTGGTTGTTGTCTTCCGCTTGATGATGGTCTTTGCGTTTAGCTTGACCCGTTCATGGGATCGCGGAGAGCTCTCCATCCGAACCGACGCGACGCCGGAGTTCGGAGGGGTAGTGTTCGCTTCCCATTGAGATACAAGAATTCCCTCGTTGCTGGCACGTTCCCGGAGAAAAAGGCGCACCGAAATTGTGCGCGTAGAGGCTGATGGTTATCACAGAGTCTTGTGGCAGCGGAGGACAGCCGACAACCCCGATTTCACGCTTCTCTCATATCCATGGAAAACGACGTTCCGTCGGTCGTGAAGGTCGCAGTGATTGGTACTCCGGATGAATTTATCGAGTTTTCAGTTTCGGAACTAGGCCTGAGTTTCCGGAGTTCGGAGTTCGCCCGCTTTAATTTCCGAACTTCTTGTTCGGAAACCTTCATTTCCGAACTTTTGGTTCGGAAAGTAGTTTTACATCTAACAAGGTCCGAAGACTGTTATCTGGAAACTATCGGCCACAGACACACAATTTTCGGTTCTCCGCGGGTATCCTTGACGATCATTGAAAGAAAAACCGACGACGTATCGCTCATAACTCGAAATCTGAAAGCCCAAGACTTGAGTGTTAGAGGAGAGGAACAAAATGCTCGGACGATGGGATCACGAGTTTTTATTGATGAACTTCATTTCGTATCTGCGGGAGATTCTTGCGTATCTTCCCAGGGTCTTCTATTCATGAAGAAAGATTTCAGGAGAAGATAGCTCGTGTATCTGAACGTTCAGAAACCCTCCTGTATCGCTGTCGCCCGTTCATGGAGCCTCGAAAGACCTCGACGTATGGGTTCGATCCGGAAAATTTCTTCGATACGAAAGACGATGTGGGACTCAAGCAGGTTATGGTAGATCGAAAGGAATGGGGAGCGAAGATAGACACTGTGGCAGACATCAGCGTGATTTCAGAGCAGTCGGCGGAGGGCTTGAAATTGGTTATAGAGCCAAGCGCAGTGAATCAAGTTCGCGGAGTAGGCGGAAGCGGAATTAAACCGGTAGGCCAGGCGAAGGTCAATCTAGAAACCGATGGGCTGCAATTGACCGATGTCTCGCTGAAAATTTTTCCGAATCAGGCTATGCCGTACGAGGAAATTCTGTTGGGAAAAGACCATCTGGATAGGGGATATGTCACGATTTACTGGGAGGGGCAATCCTGGATTTTGAAACCGGATAGATTCGAAGAAATCTCAAAAATGGTCCCGAAAGGAACACCGAAGGTATAGCTCAAGACGAAGGATACGGTCAATCTGGAGCCGCGTAAGGTTGCGTTCATCAAGGCAGAGCCGGTTGGCAGGAAAGAGGGATGTCTCATTCTCGAGGATAGTCAAGATTATGGCGTCTTATTGCAAATTCCGGATAAGGAGGTAGTGATTCCCGTAACGAACACAGATAGCCAGGAACTCAGGTTAGAAGCAGGCACTGTTGTAGCGCGCGGAACACCGATGGATGAGGAGGCGATCTACAGATTCAAGTGGAAAGAGGCGAGCGTCTGTCAGGTGTCTGGAGAAGAGCAGACCGCGGAAATGACGCCGATCACCGATGTTGACGTCACTACAGGAGACCAGGTTCCGCAGGCGCGCCGAACACGACTCCTCGCCTTGGTGAACAAGTATCGAGATGTCGTGGCGACGTCGATGAGAGTATCGGGGAGAACGGAATTGACCGAATCCGATATAGAGGAGATTAAGGATAGCCAGCCCGTGAGAGCGAAACCGGTTAGGCTGTCGGTCGTAGGGAGGCAAGCGTTACAGGAGATCATTCAGCAGATGCAGGAGTCAGGCATGATCAGCAGGTCGAACTCAGCGTATGCTAGTCCAGTACTCTTAGTCAAGAAGGCGGACGGTGGATGGCGAATGTTCATCGATTGTCGCAGGCTGATTGCGCAGACAGTGAAGCAAAACTATCCATTGCCATTGTTGAAATGAGCGACAGTGAAGATGGTGAATCTCAGTCCCCATCTCTATCCGACCCCTCATCAATCCATACTTCGCCCGCATCAATCGAGCAACCCCGGAACCACGCCTCATCAGAACCCCAGCTCACATTCACCCCGTCCACATCTTCCGGACCGTCCAGAACTCGAACCCCACATCTCAGAATAACGAGAACCCCCAGATAGAATCAATTAGATAGACAGGGTTCTGTTTCCTTCATCAATGTACCCCTCTTAGGTTCCGCTCTCTCTCGATAGGAGCATAAAGACATTCAAACCACAGAATAAAACAGTGTCCGGCCGATCGTGTCAAGTTCTGCCGTGGACTGCCGGATCAGAGAGCGTGTGCCGGCGCCGTCTCCGATCCCTCACGAGCTCGTGCCTCAAGCTACACCAGAAGTCGCCGGATCTCGAGACCGAAAATATGAGCGCTCCTCCCAGTTCTCCCGTCCCCTCAGGGATCACATTTTCCCACCATGTGGCGATCGGGGCGATCAAAGCTCTGAACTACGCCTACGACATACTGACCCTACCGTTCTACACGGTCATCCAACAGCCTTGGATCAGGTGGAACAATCGGTATCTCGTCTACTCGAAGAAAGTCGAGGGTCCAACGGGAAGTGCTTACGTGCGCAAAGTCGTTCGCAACGAGGATATTTTCAATGGAGCGCGCACTGTCGACAAAATCACAAGGCACGCCATCGAAGTTTATCCCGACAAGCCATGCTTCGGAGCCCGAGAAATTCTCGGTGAAGAGATGGAGGAGCAGGCAGACGGAAAGTCGTTCAAGAAGTTGATTCTGGGCGACTATAAATGGATCACTTATCGTGAAATGGATCAGAAACTCGACCTCATCGGCAAAGGGCTCATGTCACTCGGAGTGAGACCCCGCCAGAATGTTATTATCTTCGCTGAAACTCGAATGGAGTGGATGTTGGCCGCTCAGGCTTGTCTCCGCTTGAACATTCCAGTGGTGACTCTCTACGCCACCCTTGGAGAAGACGGCATTATCCACGGCGTTAACGAGACAGAAAGCACTCACATGATCACGTCGCTGGATCTCCTGCCGAAAGTGGTGAAAATCCTACCTCAGATGTCTTCGCTTACGCATGTCATCTACATGGAGAACCCTCTGATGAAAACGAAACCCGCCGACCCGCAAGGCATAAATCTCCTCTCGTTCTCTCAACTCGAAACCATTGGAGCCACCGCCGACAGAGAGCTTCGCGGGGAACCCCGGCCCGAAGACACGGCCATCATCATGTACACGAGCGGATCCACCGGTATGCCGAA